AGAAGAAGAAGAAGAAGAAGAAGAAGAAGAAGAAGAAGAAGAAGAAGAAGAAGAAGAAGAAGAAGAAGAAGAAAGGCACCAGGCGGTGGTGGTGCACACCTTTAATCCCAGCACTTGGGAGGCAGAGGCAGGAGGATCTCTGTGAGTTCGAGGCCAGACTGGTCTACAAAGTGAGTTCCAGGAAAGACACAAAACTACACAGAGAAACCCTGTCTCGAAAAACCAAAAGAAGAAGAAGAAGAAGAAGAAGAAGAAGAAGAAGAAGAAGAAGAAGAAGAAGAAGAAGAAGAAGAAGAAGAAAGAAGAAAGAAGAAAAAACAGAGGCACTGGGCGGTGGCTGAGACCTGTTGCTAGTTAGCTCTTCCATCTTAAATTAACCCATTTCTATTAATCTATGTTTTGCCATATGGCTGTGGCATTACCAGTCTGCTGGCATGTTGCTCTTTGGGTGGCTGGCTGGTATCTCTCTTGGCCACACCTTTCTTCTCCCAGTATCTTTGCTTCGATTTCCCACCTGGCTATAACCTGTCTTGCCATAGGCCAAAGCAGCTTCTTTATTAACCAATGGTAGCAACACATATTCACAGCATACAGAAAGACCATCTCACAGGAGCCAGTCACCTAGGGCCCAGCCAGCCAGACATGGAAGAATCAGGAAAGCAGGATGGCCAATATATAGATGAGGTAAATAAGCCTCTGGGAAGCACATAGATTAATAGAAATGGGTTAATTTAATTAAAAAAAAAACTAGCTAGAAACAAGCCTAAATAAGCTAAGGCTGAGCATTCATAATTAATAAGTCTCCGTGTCATGATTTGGGGGCTGGCAGTCCAAAAAAAAAAAGCCTGCTACAGAGCTATTGGTGGAGTTTTCCTGTCCCAATGGCCTGCTCCCAAATAACTGACACAGAGGCTTAATATTAATTATAAATGCTTGGCCAATAGCTCAGGCTTGTTACTAGCTAACTGCTATACTTTAAATTAACCCATATTTCTTAACTGTGCTTTGTTTGCCACATGACTCACATCACTCAAGGCTTGTTACCTCATTTTCTACACGTCCTGCTTCCTTGGTGACTGGCTGGCATCTCCTCTGACTCCATCCTCCTTCATCCCATCATTCTGAGTTTGGCTTTCCCTCCTAATTTTATCCTGTTCAGCTACTGACCAATAAGCTTGTTTATTAAATCAGTCATAGTGACATATATTCACACAGTATACAGAAGGGTTACTCTACCGCACAGAGCTAGGCTCTGCTGACCAGGTTTTATATAAGGCAGAGCTTGACACAGTGTCCTGTTCTTTACACCACCCAGCACAGCGCCTGCTCACTCTACAGCAGTGAGGGAAGGCCTGGCTATATTCCTCTCTCTAGCAAGCATGGCTCCCATTGCTGTTCTTGTTCTCGGGTGGGTCTTCCGGTCCTCCGACCAACCAGGCAGGAGGAGACAGGGACAGGAGAGTGAGATGAAACTCTGTGATCTCCAGTTGCTTTGTCTAGCTGGTAAAATTGGACCATATGTTTATAGAACTTAATACTATGAAGTCATGGTACAAGCAGAGCTCTGTTCAAGTGAAGTCAAAATAAAAACACCAGTGATGTAGGACCCTGTCCTTAAAGAGCTCACACTGCATCCTGGGGAGGAGGTTGTGCATTGCATGTGCACAAAGAGAAACAATTGGACAGTTCGAGGAACTATAAGATAAGGACAAAATGGACTTTGCAGAGAATGAGCCTGGAACCTGAGCACCATGAGCATTCAGGAAGGTGGAGACTTGGTTGGGCTTTGGAAGGTCGGTCATTATGATAGCCCTTCTCACATTTCCTTGTAAATCACTTCCACATAAGTTATTTATTTATTTTAAGATTTATTTATTTTATGTATGAGTGCTCTATCTGTATGGACAACTTTATGCCAGAAGAGGGCATCAGATCCTACTAGAGATGCTTGTGAGCCACCATATGGGTGCTGGGAATTGAACCCAGGACCTTTGGAAGAGCAGCCAGTGCTCTTAACCTCTGAGCCATCTCTCCAGCCCCCACATAAGCTATTTTAAAAACCACCTTGCTCACTAGATTGACACAAAGAAATTTTCACCTTGGAAGGTGGAAAAAAGGAGGATCAGGACTTCAAGGCTGGCTTCTGCTGCTACATCATAGTAAATTTAAGGCCAGCCTGGCTACATGGAATCTTATTTCAAAAGAAGAGGAGGAGGGCTGGGTGATGGTGGCTCAGGCCTTTAATCACAGCACTCAGGGGGCAGAGGCAGGCAGATCAATGAGTTCGAGGCCAGCCTGGTCTACAGAGAGTTTCAGGACAACCAGGGCTACACAGAGAAACCCTGTCACGAGAGAGAGAGAGAGAAAGAGAGAGAGAGAGAGAGAGAGAGAGAGAGAGAGAGAGAG